ACTGAGCCACCCAGGCATCCCTGGAAACCATACATTTTAAATGATAATTTAAGTAACTGACGGTAGCTGGCTTGAAGAAATTAAGACTTAGAATAGATATAATAACTGCCTTCAATATTTGAAGGGGTATCTATATGAAAATGGAATATATTTTTTCTATCCCAGAAAGTGTAACTAAAATAATTGAAGGCAAGTTTGAGCAAAGCAAATTTGGGCCTGTTAAGAAAACCAGAAGAACTTTCCAATCATGAGAGCTATCCAGAAATGAAATGAAACACCTGTGATTTTATTACTGTAAGGAAAGTTCTCTTTGTAATTGAACTCAAGCATTTATATAATACCTTCTCTGTACTTGACACTATTAGTGCTATTGGATGGCAAGACTCCTCCCCGCACTCAGAGGTGCAGTCAGGTCTGAGGGACAATGTCAAGCTCATTGACATTGATTAGAAGGTAGAACCTTCCAGAATATCATCCATTGTCTAAATGTGTGGCCCAGTGGTTTGGTCACTGAGTGGAGATAACTGTCTGTCTGGTCTCCCACGGTGGTGGAAGGCTTCACAGGAGAGGAGGCATTTGAAAAGGGAAGTAGAAGATGCAAAGGAATGTCCACCTCAGGAGAAGGGGGTGAGAAGGTAGAGCCCTGTGAGGAAGGCAGATGTGGACCGGATGCATAAGCAAGTGTTCCTCACACATTTCCTTCAGTGACCCAGTGTGCACACAGCTCTACAGAACTCTGGTTTCCTTAGATGAAACCAGTGAGGAAGACGGCATGGCGGCCGGCCTGAGAATTGGCCGAAACTCCGGAGTCATGTCCTGTGGTGAAGGGATATGAACTCCTTGACTATCCTGAGCTCCCTCAAATATTTGGGGCTCAGTGGATGAGTCAGAGATGACTCAGTCACTCGTAAGGATGAAGGGAGTAGGGGAAGCCCCAGGATTGAAGTTGTTTGACTGTTTATGGACCGAGGCTCAGGCATATTTTTGGTACATACTTTTGGCTGCAAGTAACCTGAAACCCAATGAACAGTGACTTAGTCAAAACGAAAATTATTATCTTATATATTGGAAATTCTAAAATAATTCTCATCTAGGATCGGTTAACTCATGGGTTTGACAAAGTTATCAAGGTCTTCTTTCTATTTTTCTGCTTGTTATTTTCCATTTGTTGATTTATCCTCTCAGGCTGAGTCCCCTCAGGGTCTCAAGAAGGCTTCAGTAATGCCAGGCTTCAAATGTGGAGAACATCCAGAGACAGAAAAAAAAGCCCAGTTTCCTTGCTTTTAAGAATAAGAAGAGGGGCACCTGGGTGGCTCAGTCAGTTAAACGGCTGCCTTCAGCTCAGGTCATGATCCCAGGGTCCTGAGATCGAGTCTGCTTCTCCCTCTCCCTCAGCCTGCTGCTCCCCCTTCTTGTGCTCCCTCTCTCTCATTCTGTCAAGTAAATAAATAAATAAATAAATAAATAAAATCTTTAAAAATAAATAAAACAAGAACATTAAAAAAAAAGAAGAAGAAGAAGAAGAAGGGTATTTCCGGGTAGCCCTTCGGCCAACCTCTCCTCAATCTCATTGGCCAGGTTACAGCACGAACCCATTCCTAAGTCACTTGCTGGAGAGGGGAAACAGAATTACCTTGGGAGGGGCCCAGCTCCCATGAGGGGCATGGGTGTGGGATGTCTAAAGAAAATCAAGGTTCTTTCTCATGAGAGAAACAGAGAATGGCAGCCAAGAGTGGCTGCAACATTTCCTTCCTGGGGAGGATCCTAAATTCTTTAGGTATGATGGAGACAGAGGAGAGATGACTTGGTCCATCCCACCTGCCTTGCCTGAGCTGGGGTCCTTGTCAGGATGTGTTGCCTGGGCTAGGGTACCTGTGGTTGGTTCATCAGTGGGGCCTGAGATTCTCACTGGAACAGTAGGTTGTGGGTTCAACCAAATGATCTTTAACACAACTCACAGTCCTCATTATGGGCCTGGTATTGTGCTAGGCTAGTAGCAGCGTGGTATCTCCTGTAATCCTCATCTCAAATCTGCAACTCCAGGACTATTATCTCTACCTTCATATGAAGAATTGAGACTAAGTAACTTATCCAAGGTCAACGGTGACTGGTAGAGTGGGGATTTGAAACCAGGTAAGTCTAAGGCTACGTGTTTCTACCAGTGGTATCTCACTACCTCTTTCTTCCAGCTTCGAGTTTCCATGAATCTGAGAATAAAGCCTAGGAGTGTGATTTAAACCTGTGTTTCTCAAACTATTTTCGGTGAAGAACCAGATTTAAAAAAAAGAATTCCAATCCGTGGTGGATGAACATTTTCATAAAATATAATAAAAATAATTGCTAGGAAAATAAAATGAAAAAAAGTAAAAATATACAGAATACAAGCCCTTGTTTTCAATGACTCGATCTAACAAAAAAATACTCTATCAAATTGCTATAAAGTTTTTTAAACTTCGTTTCTGTGCTGCTCTCATCACAGACTGGGAACGAACAGTTCGTGGACCAGCACTGGTCTTTAGGCCACACTGACCGGCACTGATTTAGATGATTTTCTGCCCCCATCCTCCTCCCTAGACTACAACTCAGGATACTTGATGCTTGGATGTCTCAGCAGAAAGGAGGGTAAGAGAATTACTCATTATAATTATTGAGGCAGCTATCATAGGAAAAGTTCAGGTGGCACTGCTGTTTCCCTGGGGACCTCTAGTGTCACCAACAGATGTCTCTTATACTCGGGGTAACACTTTCTTGATGGTGATTTTCTATCTTCCCGCTTTGTAAGAAAGAGATTGAGGATAACAGTAATGCAGTAGTCCCCTCTTATCTATGGGGGTTACATTCCAAGAGTCCCAGTGAGTGCCTGAAACGGTGGGTAGTCCCAAGCCCTATGTATACTATGTTTTTTCATATATATATATACACACACACATATATATATATACATAAATATACATACCTTTGAAAAAGACCATATATTTTTTAAAGATTTATTTATTTATTTGGGAGAGAGAGCATGAGCAGGGGGAGTGGCAGAGAGAGGTAGAGAATCCTTAAGCAGACTCCCTGCTGAGTGTGGAGCCTGATGTGGGGCTCGATCCCAGGACCCTGAGACCATGACCTGAACTGAAATCAAGAGTTGGACCCTTAACCAGCTGAGCCACCCAGGCACCCCAAGAAATGTAATTTATAATTTAGGCACAGTAAAAGATTAACAACAACAATAATAGAATAGAACAAGGATAACAATATACTGTGATAAAAGTTATATGAATGTGGTCTCTCTCAAAATATCTTGTTGTACCGTTCTTCTCGTAATGATGTGGGATGATGAAATGCCGACGTGATGAGATGAAGTGAGGGGAATGACATGGGTCTTGCGATGTGCACTCTGCTGCAATATGTCAGAAGGAGGATCATCTGCTCCAGTTCTATGGTTGACCATTTGTAACCGAAACTGTGGAAAGCACAACAGTGGGTAAGTGGGAATGGCTGTATGCAGAATAGAAGAGACCCAGGGGATAAAGAACCTGCATATCATAGGAAAGATCTGTTTGGAAATTTGCTGGAGGTTGCCAGTTGGATGTGTCATTGGATGATGATTCATGTTGGCCAAAATTACAAACTTCTTGAATTGAGTGACTCTAGGGTTATGTGTGGTTAATGTTTGGACATTTGTTATTTTCCTGATGTAAAAATGACTTCAATCTTTTAAGATATATTTACAACTATATAAGTCCTTCTATTTATTATGCAATTCCAAGCAGTCTATGTTAGGGAATCCTCCAAGAAGTCTAGATCTGCACTCCTCTAAGATTTAGGAAATTTAAAATGATAAGTTGTCAAGTGTATGAAACTTTGAGAACTCCACATATATGGGAATTGGAATACACCAGAAGCTCCAGGATGCTCAAACATCTACCTCTCCTTTTCATTCACAAATTATTTGAGCACCTACCCCATACCCTTTTTAACCCTGCCTTCCACTGGCCTTCCTTCTACTGCCACAAGCCTGATGGACTTCATTGCCCTCGTGGGTGACTTCTCCAAAGTGTGGCTTTTCAATTTCGTGACCTCCACATTGCTGATGACTTTTCCCTCTGCCTTTGCTCAGCCACCTGCTCCAGTGGTTATAGCTTGGAATTCATCGTCCTTCAAAACTGCTCACCTCCAAAATATCTTCATTCAGTCTTTTCTCTCTCTGGTCACCACCTCCTCTCCTTGGTGATTCAGGTCTTACCACCACAACTGTTCCTCAACTACATCAGAACCTCCAGTCCATTGGCTTAAGGACACTATCCCTTTTCATCAGCTCCCTCTTGTCTGCATTTCCTTCATTATTCAACGTTGAATCCTGGGTGCATTTTTCCCCAGTCAAGCTCTTACTTATACTCTCAACTTCCTCTCCTCCTTGTCCTTTTGTTATATTCATGGGGTAAAAACAATTCTGGTGTGTTTACTCCAGGCTGCCAGGAGAACCCTGAGAAAAAGCGTGCAATCTGGCAAACTTCAATTCATGATTACCTATCTCAGCTGGGCTCAACCCTGCCTGGAATTCTGCCATGTTTCTTTAGAGTCATTTGCTTTCCACATATCTGCAAGTACCACTTCAAATCTTTCTTTCTCTCCTCAAACCTTCTTGCATTCTCTCTCTTATTCACTCTTTTCAGAGAAAATAGAAACCATCTGATGAAACGACCTCAACTTCCTGCCAACAAATCTTCAAACCAACTTGCTTTTGTACCCACTGTCTCTACTTCCTTCCTGTTATTATTCAATGAAGGTGTTCCTCCTCATCTCAAAGGTCATCCTTTCCTCTACCTGCATCCTACCCCCTCCTGCCTTCTGAGGAACTGTCTTCATCAGTTCTAGCTCATTCATCTATCTTAACTTCTTTTTCTCCTCTGTTGGCCCAATGTCCTGTCATCTCCACTTGTCCTCCACTTTTTCACTTCCCATTTACTGTGCAATCTCACCAATCTCCATCGCCTGCAACTCCCCTGCACTCTTCTTGATAAAGTCACCAGTGCCCCCACTTGCTACATCCCGTAGAAGCTCTTTTGTCTTGATCTTACTTGACCTCCCAATAGTGTTTGATTTAGTTGACCATTCCCTCTTTCCTGAAATGGTGGCTTTCCTTGTTCTCAGGGATGCCACTCTCTCCTGGTATTTCTTCCTACCACTCAGGCCATTCTTTACAAGTTCCTTTGTCAGGTTCTCTTGCTCTGACTTATAAATATCTGGGTTCTCCAGGGCTTGGTTCTGGGCTCTTTTCTCATTCAACACTCTTACCCTTGGTGATTTTCTCCACTCCCATGATTTCACTCACCATCGCTATAGCAATGACACCCACATATTTATCTTCAGACTACATCTCTTAAGTCCAGCTGACCATTATAGAAAAGCTCACTCCAAGTCTCAGAGGCACCTCCAACTCAGTAGGGCCAATGTAGAATATATCACCTTCCCTTCCAAACCTTCTTCTCTACCCAGTTCAGGCTAGATCAGAGGGCTTTTTGGCCATCGCCTGCTGTAACCACACTCATCTAAGTAGTTGCTGAATATTTGAAAACTTGCACTTCTCTCAAATCCTATTTATTACCACCTTAGTCCATACTACAATTTCCTCTTACCTGAATTAGAAGCAAATGGACCCTATAAGGTCTCATTCAGAAGATGTAGATTCTCCTCTTAATAACCTTCAATTACTTCTCTTTGCCCTTAAAGTCTAAACATTTTGCCTCTGCCCATTTTTTCCAGTTCATGTTAAACTTCTCTCCCTCATGTATAATATGCCTCACTTGTCATGTGTCATCTTTTAGTTCCTTAAACAGTTTAAGTCCCTTCCTACTTCAGATACTCAGGATACAAGAGGAGATGGAGAAGCCAGAGGGTCCTGAATAGGGCCCAGGGTCCAGCTATGTTGAGCATCAGTACAAATCTACCCTTGCTTCAGAGACGTTCCCTCCCCTCATGCTTTGCCATTCTAAGAGGTCTTGAAATATGTGGCTCTTTCTGCCTAAAGTTCTCATCATCTCCCTCTTCATTTGTCCAACTCCCACTCATTCTTCATGCCCAGCTGAATGTCACCTTCTTGTGGAAGGCCCCCCATCCCTACTCTGGAGTCTAGGTTAGTTGCTCCATTAAAACCTCTCACTTCTCATTTAGTAGTTTCAAAATTATAATAATATTGTGTAGGTAACTTTGTAATGTCTTTTTTTGCCCCTATGGATTTAGCTGTTAAATCTATGAAGGCAGGTGCTATGTTTGCTTTATTCACTGTTTTCTCTCCAGCATCCAACATAGTACCTAGAGCATAATAGGTTCTGAGTGAATAAACGCACATCTCATAAAAACTCCGATTTGGGGCAGAGGCCAGGGAGAAGGCAATTTGCCTCTGTTTTGATTTGAGTCCCATCCTTGTTAGATATGAATGTAGAGATTATACTGAGAGGAGACATGATTAGTTATTTATGCTGCATACTAGTCATAGTTACTAATTTGGCTCTGGTAGAAGTATGATAGGGTTCAGCTGGGGAAATAACATCTGCTTCTTCTAAATAATCCAGAAAGACTTCAAATAGGCATGAGATTCTGGGTTGCATATTGGACAAACTATGGGCTCCATTATACGATGACTTCTTGACTTTGGGAAAAAAAAATGTATTTTTTTTTTTGAATAATGGTAAGGAAAGAAGCAGTGTGGTAGACTGTCTCATTTTCTGGGTTGCTAACAGGTAGTAACAATGATAGATAATGAGCATATATGAACAAAGCCCAGTGTTGTAATCAATAAAAACTTCCTACATAGTTAACCTAATATTTATTTAATGGTATGTGTAACTATTATTGCTCGGGATGATAGTTAGTCACCTCTGTTAAGCTTCTGTTCAGTGAACTAATGCAACTTTAATAGCTACAATTCATATATATATGAATTATATAATTCATAAATATATATATTTACTTCATCAAGCCAAGTATTCCTTCAGGCACTCAAAAAAATGTCATTTCCTTTCTGTCCTTCCCAAATGTAGGGATGGCCCATTTTCTCTTTCCATCCAGAAATGGTGGGTTGAGAGCAGAAAATAGTATAAGGAAAGGTCCAGGTTTAGTGATGGACACACAAAGAGTGTCCAGCTGTTTTTTTATGGTGTTAGCACTGATCTTACCATGTGGTCTCATGTGAGCATTTTCCAAACGTCTAAGGGAAGAGCCACTTTTACTAAGCATTTCCTCTGTGCTTTACATGTATCCACGCCTTTATTTCTTATGACAACAACACCTTGAAGGAACAATTATTCTCTCCATGTTACAGAGGATACTGAGGTAGGCGTTGTTTCAAAGTCATGAAGCTTGGATCCAAAGTTTGGCAGACTCCAGTGGCTGTGCACATCATCTCTGTGCTGTGGAGTAAGAAACAAGCTGTGTTACTTTTCCTTGGGTCTTTTATCTCCTCCATATCCTCTCCAGACAGAGGGTCAAGGAGGCTTCTGGAAGCTCAGGGCTCTGTGGCTGCTCAGCCCTGCTGGGAGATGGGGGCTGTTGATAGTTACCAATGACTGGGAATCCATCTGGAAAATTCCCAGTGCAGACTCTGTGGACAGGAATGTGTCCCAGAAGAGGGTTCAAATGGGAACAGGCCTGGCTGACGGAGGAATCAGATGCTGGAATTAGGACGTATGGGCTCAATGGGCACTTCAAGGTCATCTCATTTAGTGGTTTTGAAGCTTTTGACCATAAAGGACTGCTGCTATTAATTTTCCCCAGAGACTCTCTGTTTTAAAATATTTCAGCTGGTTAAAAAAAAAATTCAAGAAATAATTCCATTTTCTGTTTTCATTGATCAAAAATATCATAGATGACTAGCAAACAGAGCTTCCGGCCATCAGGAGGCGACCAGTCTTTCCATACAAAGTGGCTATTACTCCAGCCAAGGACATAGAAGTGCTTTTTAGTGAGCCTGCACACACTTAGGGGAGGCGGGGGTGACAAATGTACAATTTCATTAGGCTTTTTCAAGTTTTGGAAATTGCTCAAAGACAGTCTCTCCACGATGAGTGCTTTTGGGAATGTGCATGCATCTAGTGCTCCCAGTTGGAAACCATGGGTCTAGACGTATTTCTTTGTTTTATCATCAAAGAAACTAAGGCCCAGACAGGGTAAGTAAAATTTCCAAAGTCACCAAGTGAGTTAGTGTGTAAAAGGAGGATTAAATAATGGAACACACATGTCACCTGGACCCACTAACCACTCCAAGGTGAAGTTGACTGGTTCATTTTGTAGCCAGTTCTGCAACTTATGGAAGTTCAAAGATTGTTCTGCCATTTTAAATTCTGAGCGTTTGTTCTTATGGATCCAGTTCCTATTTCCTTGGAGTCTTGTGCCTGCTTCTCCCTAAATCACCCCAGGCCTAAAGCTGGTCTTCATGTTCCACAATTAAATCCACTCCTATAAGTGTTTTGAGGGGTCAACGTGCTATAGAGTGGGTAGCTTCTGCTCTCAAGCCAATTCTCTTTCCTCTTTCTTTCCATCTTTGATATCATCCCCTTCCTTCCAGATGGTGCCTCCCGAACCTTTTGATCCGTCTGATTTCCGTCAGTGGCTAGGTAGGGTGACCACATTATCATCACAGATTTTAGGAGCTTCTCTCACTGGTCCCACGCTCCTCACCTCAGCAGCTAGGACCACAAACAGAGACTCTCATTCTTCACTGCTATCTAAATTGTGGTGTGAGGAGGAGAGGAACATGGGAGATGAGGTGGTTGATCTTCTTACAGAATAAAGGCTTGTTGCCAAAAATCAATCAATCAATCAATCAATCCATCCTTATCTAAACCTCATCTCTATATTTCCAATCCAAAACACATATGTACCTTCACACCTGACATTATATTTGACCCTTATATCAAGTCTGGTCTACCAGTCAGCTCAGGCTGCCATGACAAAGTACCATAAGTTGCATGGCTTAAACAAAAGAAATTTATTTCTCATAGTTCTGGAGGCTGGAAGTCCAAGATCAAGGTGCCAACATGGTAGGTTTCATTCTGAGGCCTCTTCCCTTGGCTTGTAGCAACTGCCATCTTTCTGTGTGTGCTCAATAAGATCTTTTTATTATGCACATGTGGAAAGAGAGAGAGTGAGAGCTCTTTGGTGTCTCTTCTTATAAAGGCACTAATCCTATCATGATGGCCCCATTCTCATGACGTCATCCAACCCAGATTATCTCCCAAAGGCCCCATCTCCAAATATCATCACAGTGAGTGTTGGGACTTCAACAATGCATTTTGGGGAAACACAAACATTCAGTAGATAACACCTGGGAAAAAAGTTTTTGCTAGTTTTCCAGATGCGAAACTGAGGCTCATAGAGGTAAATATATTAGAGTGAGTCCACAGGGGAGAGAACTGGAGGAGGGTAGTATCCATGGTGATGGCCTCTCCATGCACCCTAATACTTACCCAACTCATCTCCTTGTCCCCCCCAACCCAGGAGCCTGATGTGCCATTCGAGCACAGAGCTATTTTTTCTAAATTCTTAGAAGGGTGTAGTAGTTTAAAAACATGTCCACAAATTCTTTGAGATGCCTCCTTTCAAAAGGTGGAATCTAATTTGTTTCCCTTTCAATATGGGCTATACTTGCCAACTCACTTCTAACAAACGGAATGTGCCAGGAGTGTGGTGTGAGGTTTCCGAGATTAGGTAGAAAAGACACCGTGACTTCCTCCTTGCTCTCTCCCAGATCATTGACTCTGGGGAAGACAGCCACTGTGTGGTGAAGACATTCAAGAAGCTCTACAGAAAGGCCCATGTAGCAAGGAACCAAGGCCACCTGCCAATAGCCAGTGTGGAACCAAGGCCACCTGCCAACAGCCATGTTAAGTGTGACATCTTGGATGTGATTTGTCCAACCCCAGCCAGGCTTCAGATGACTGCAGCCCTGGTTGTCATTTTGCCTGCAACCCCCTCAGAGACCCTGAACCAGGACCCCTAGTTGCCACTCTCAGATTCTGGACCTACACAAAAAGACAAAAAAAAAAAAAAAATGTGTTTTGCTTTAAGCTACTAAATTTTGGAGACATCAATAGATAATTAATACAAAAGGAAAGGCATTTTATACTTTTCTCAGTTCTCCAGTCTCTGTATAACCCATGTGGCCAGGCCATACCAACATGTCTGAGCATCTGTTTCCTCTTACAGAAGATTGCAATAATAATCCCACACACATGCCCAATACGTACATAACTAGCACCAACTGGCTCAAAATAAGTGCTCGATGAATTGTGACTGTTGTCAATATCTCATCAGCTGTGTGGCTTCTCTAGGTGAGTTGCTGTGTCTGGGTTTCAGATGCCCACTTCCCTCACATGAGGTGCCAACCTCAACCTTAAGTTAGTGCGCATTGCCTAGCAGAGAGCCCTAGCTGCCTAAACCTCACGGCTTCTCCAGTTCAGTATAGACAGACGGCCTCGGCGTAGAGCCTCACTGCTCTCTCTTGGTGTTCTGCTAGCCTCCATTCTTAACCTTAACCTTTCATCTCAGAATTTCAGCTTTGATGCTTCCCACTTCCTTCCTATGGTTACTTTAACTGAAGTGAGTCAGGTCTTACTGAAAAACTGCCCACAGCCAGTTAGCCCCCCTCCTCCCCCAGACCAGGGCTGCCTGGGCAGACTGTGAGGGTGATCAGTGTTACTCAGACCACTGTTTCCCTCTCTCTCGTCTCCAAGTCACGGGGCTTTGAATAGGGCTTCCCCAGCCACCGTGCCCCTCCCAACAGACCGCAGTCAGAAGCCAATCTCACATTAGTCTGGTGGTTGAAGGAGGGAACAGAAGGGACGGTAGTGCCTTAAATCCTTGGGTATTCTATCAAGTGGGCTGATCTGCTTATATTCTACTCTGTTTGTGGGCCTCTGATCTTAACTCAAGGAGGACTTGGTAGGTTGTGCATACCGATAACAACCAAACGTGTATAGGGACCATCTCTTAGTGCCAGGAGCCATGTTAGCTCTTTGTCCGAATTTTCACAACAACCCGGGTAGGTTAGTATTCACCCAGACCTTTGGGCCTTTGAAGAAGCAAAACCAAGTGGAACAGAACAAAACAAGCAAACAAGCAAGCAAACAAACAAAA